ATCCTTCACTTTGGACCACTCATTTATTTTTATTTTCAGTTGTTACAGACGGGACACACATGGCAAAACTCCACCTCATTGTTAGTCCATTTAAAAAACTCGGTGCTCTTCCTCTACCTTTTGCAGCAGTTTCAAAGAGCTGGAAAGTAAATAAACGGCAGACAGAAATGAGGCAGGTCAAATCGTCTTGTGTTTCACACATGCACAGTACTGGAACGTAAGTGTTTTCAGCCATCTCAATGTGGACACACAACTCTGTAAAAACAACTGAAAACGATAGTGTGGACGCGAAGCGTTTTCAGACGAAAGCCCCGTTTCCAAAGTTATCCGGGCTAGTGTGGACATAGCCTCAGACTATGCTCTTTGAGCGCAAAATTGATAACATGTCGGAGAGGCTCATGGCCCCCCAATGGGTGATTGAGAGACCAGTGACGGACATTTAGATCGACTGTAAAATCGACATGCAGTTGTTCGCACTACAGGAAAACACCATCATTTCATGTGGCTACCATATCAGCGCCAGCCGTGGTCTCAAGGCTGGAGCTTAACAACAAATTCTTCCCTGATAACAGACTGTTTAGACTCTTTGCCGCCATCTTACGCACCCCCATCCTGGACTCCAAGCGCCTTCGAACACTTCCAAGGCCGAGGTCAGACGGCAGGTCTAGGCCCAGCGCTGGATTAGTAGCACATGGCAAGATGGCTGTGTCTAATCAGCTCACTTCTCACCCCCTTACCCATCCCGTTGCTTGTCATGTGCTTCATGGTGTTGTGATGTGCTCTCTGTGCAGAGGAGTTTTTTTGTTTTCTGTTCTCATGCTGACCTCCCACAAGGAGCCCAGTATGAGTAGAGGTCTCTTTTTTCCCTCCTCCATTTGCCCATTGTCTTGTACATTTCAATGTTCTTCCAAATTACTACCTGTCTCCGACCTGTCTGTGCTATGTATGTATGGTCGGTGGTCCAATTCCACTGCAGGTGCAAACTTGCATGTGACAAATAAAGGTCTGATTGATTGATTGATTGATATTTACGTGTTACCATAGCGACCAGACACCCTTAAGGGGCAGAGAGGAGGATGTTCTCATTGTTGTTGGCGTATTTCAGGAGGACCCTGCTAATAGTTACACAATTACACAGTGAATTCGCGTTTATTATTATATTTACAAAATACCACTGTCTTGGTCGTATCATTTTATTTTGTTGTATTTATCCGTGACACCTTAATGGTCGGTGAAAATATTGTCGGACATTAAACCGGTCCATGCTGCAAAAAAGGTTGGGGGCTGCTGATGAGAAGTAAACACTCGTGCAACCGACCTGACAACGGTAGACCGCATGCAAGCTTTTAAAAAGTATGCTCAGGTGGCTTTAACCGCCACACCGTTTCCGTAGTGTAGTGGTTATCACGTTCGCCTAACACGCGAAAGGTCCCCGGTTCGAAACCGGGCGGAAACATCATTTATTTATCTTATTTCACTTTATTTTTTTCATTAATTTGTCTTCTTTAAGTAACCAAACCATATGCCATGCAGTCGTGTGGTCTTGGTGCGTTGTGGATAACAAGTGAAACAAATATAAACTGATTGTGTGAAAACTGAATTGTCCGACATGTGTCCTTGGACGCGACCCGTACTCAGGAAGCACGCATGTGTCGCTGCAGCTGTTGTTTAGCGCCGTGTTGCAGTACGTGCTTTAAAAAAAACTATGCAGCCACAGACTTTCTAACTCTCACCAACCACCGATGTGTTCGTTTTCTGCTTCAGCTGTAGGTAAGTGCTTGTATTTCTGCCCTCGGAGCTTCCGTCCACCCGCCGAGACAACCCACAGTTAGCTTTGCAGTCCTAAGCTAACGTTAGCGCGGATGCCGATGTTGGTGTTTCTGCAGCTCCATAAACTCAACAGGAAACTCAGGGAGTTCGCTTTTAGCATAAATCTGTGAAGCTAACTATTCACCCCTGTCTCCACGACATGCGCAACAATAAGCGAAGAATCTAAGATTTTCAAATACCTGAAATCCGCTGGTTTGGTGCAGAACTGCAGCCGATTGCGGCAAAGAGTAATGCAGCCATTCCAGGTGGAGTAAAAGTTTAATTTGACGCCAGGGAGGATAAATATTGGAGAAAACAATTCAATGAAGAATGCAAGATTAAATCTGTTCGTTCATTTTAAAAATTAGACTAGGAAAATCCCATATTCATACGAAAATTGCACGCTTATGGCCACAATTATGTTACACCCACAGTGATGATAACTACTTAAGAGAATAAATAGGAAAAGCTAAGAAAGATGAGCCATGAGTCCATGTGCTGGACTTTGAACGCTTAAAATATTAGTGGGCGGATCGATCCAAATATCGATGATATTGAAACCTATCATTGTATTGATATTGATCGATAGGAGCCTAATGTGACTGATACTTTAGTTTCTGCGGTTTCATCAAAGAGGCAACCTGACTGTCTGTTTAAGTACGGCTGCAGCACAGAGCAGTCATCTAACTGAAGCACGTTGTTTAAAGGAAAACATTTAGTGCAAATGAAAATTCACCAAATATAATATGGCTCAGGTTTGATTGAATATAATTACCCTTTTGTGTTACCTGTGAAAGTAGATGTGCTGCAGAGTTAAACATTTTATAATTTATGTCCTGGGTTTTAACTAATTCATAATCCAAAGGAAAAATCCCCCAAAAAACACTTAATGGTCATGAAAATTTATTCAGATCTGGCAATTTGATGATGAATCACCCTTAATTATTAAAATAAGTATTAGTATAATTGATACTGGCCCTGTAGTTTCTTGGTGTCTCATTACCAAATCTTGCAGTACTGCATGCCACTAGTTTAAAATAAATTTGTTTCTCAGTATACTGTGGATTTGAAGTGAACACAACTCGTGTGTGTTTCACTGTTTAAAAGATAAAACTGAGTCCCTGAACACATCTTTTACATCAATTCTTTTTTTCCATTAAAATACTTTAAAATACAAAACAGTAAGCTAAAGTAGTATTTTTACTCACAGTAAAATATTCACCAGCTGAAGTAAAAAGTTATTGCAGGTTGAGCTTTAATCATTTTTGCACTGTGCATTATCTCGCACAACCTTTTTCTTGAAGCTGCATTAGTGACACATTCACAGTATTTTGGTGTCTGCTGATACTGCAGTGCTCTCTGTCAATATGTAAAATCCTCATGACCTTAAATCTATTGACTTGCGTTGTCAGACAGTCTTTCTTTTTACTGATTTGTGCTGATGTGTACAAAATGAATATTTTTCACTTTCAAAAGGGGGAAAAAAAGAGTGC